GGGAGCTGATGTGAGCGCCCAGCCACTGAAGTTACTCCCCAAAATCGTGTTTGGTGATTTTGGGGGGGTGTTTTGATCATAAAACATGCTTTTTATAATGACCTGTAAATCATGCTCATTTCCCCTCCCACATCCAGCTTTACTTTTACAGTGCTTTGGAGAGAGAGTGGCTCAGTGGATGTGGGGGGGTGGGGTGTCAGTGAGATTTAGTTTTCTCTCAGCTATTTAAAAACTGTCCTCCCAGAGTCTCTCCCACACCAAGTTCTGGCCCCTCTACTAGCAAATACAGAGCTGGGTGGACTGGTATGCCAATATGTTTGACTCAGACTATGATAGCCAGGGTGATATCTACCCTGTCTATCATCTGTTGTGGTTGGTAAGCTGTAGATATTTGTGGAATTTTGTTATTGTGGCAGCTACTTTATTTTTCCCTCCCACATGAGGACCTTTAGTGCAAATAGTTTTCTTATTAAAACAAGAAGTGTACACTGGATTTCTTCTGTCGCCAGCTATGCAAGATTCAGGAGATTTAAGAGTCATTTGTTTTAATTTGTTTTTACTAAAAGTGTTCTACAAGGACAAATAACTATCACACAGTTTAACTAAAATGTATTTATTGCTCAGAACAGTAAGGGGAACACATTTTGTAGAACATATTAAACTAAGCAAGAATAATAAGACAGGTACAGAGTAAAAGAAGAGACAAGAGGTGCTGTAATTCCTTCCTCCACTAGATGGAGGTGTTGGTCAAGAGTGAGGGAGGATTTCTATCGCTCCAAGGTTAACAATAGAGGACCAGACCACCAGTAAACCACCAAAACAATTTCATGAATCAAGAGGAAGTACTAAAGTGTGGTGAGTGAGACTGGCTGTAAATAGGCAACTGTAGCTGAACGACTTCACATTCTTCTTCATCCTGTTTAATGGGGGTAAAAAAGCAGGGATGTTAGCCACATTGTACGGCAGTTTCATTCATGAGGAAATGTCAGTTGATAGTTTTGAGAGGAAACAACTTCATTTTTATTTATTTTTTTACCTGAAGACCAGATGCTTTCTATCACAGCCGAGCAAACATCTCTACAGGCCGCTGAAATGAAAAAGAAAAAAAAATTGCAGTCAAAGGGCACTGGAGCAAAGTAAAGTCATGTTTGCTCAGGCACAACAGAGATTACAAGCAACACTTTTGAAAATTGTATTTTGTATTTTAAAGGCATATGCAAACACTCAAGAACAGCACTGATTCTTAGGGGCATTTTCTTGTGTTTTTCAGGGTCTGGTGATGAGAAAATGCCTGTAAAAAGACAACTACTTTGAATGAAGAGAGGAAGGGGGATACACAAAACTCTATTCTCCAAGGGATTGACTTAAGGCTAGAACACAGAACTAAAGATGAGGGCTCAAATTAATATTGCACCCAGATGAGTCTTAAGTGTCCTTGGATGACAAGCAGTGATTGGATTGCAAGCTTGGTAGCTTTTGATGGCCATGCCTGTCAGCCTCACCTGCTTTTTAATCAGTAATTACCATAGGGGATTCTCTGGCATTTCTTAATTAAATTGGACCAAATGCAATTAAAAACTACACTCTCATTCCTTTAAAAGGGCTCTGTGGAGTCCTTGTTTAGTTCTTGCTGTTAAGAGAAAAAGCGGTTGAATGGTCATAACACTGTCCCATCTCTCGCTGATCTGTGCTCGATTATTTCAGTGGTCAAATTAAGTTTGCAGTTTGCATAATAAAGGGCAAGATGGAGTTCAAGATTAAAACTTCCACGCTAACTGGAATTGAAGGTTAAAAGCGTAGACGAAGAGGCAAAGTCGTTATGTTATTAAAACAATTAAAGTTAACATCAGGGGTTCGGGAACAATGTGATGAGAGAGCGTGTGGCGAAGAAGAGGACTATCATTATCATAACACTAAATGTAGCAATATATCATTGCCCATTACATTCATACAGAGGAAATGTTGCAGTATACCTTTCAAATACTCACCATCTAGAAAAATCCCCAGCGCTCCAGGAGCTGACAATCACAGACACATCAGTGGTGATTTTCCCATCTGCTGTCTTCATATCATCTTTGGAGTTGTTATTGTAGTTGCCACAGGCACCGCACACTTTACCGGACAGGCTACTGTCAATAATGACGGTGACCTCCTGTGAAATTGAGTAGATGACCCGCACAGCAGATGCCCTCTCAATGATCACAGTCCTCTCTGAGATTTGGACGGATACATCACTCGTCACTTTGCTGGGAAGAGACACTTTCCTGCCATTTACCTGAAGATGAAAAACAAAATCAATTGAGATAAAAATATTTCTACATCAAAATGATTACTTTCATGATTAAACACTGAACTATTCTATATCCCTCCCAGCTCTTCTCACCCATGTCACGTGTTGGCTGTTCACTGCGACGGTGGTTTCCTTGAAGAACACATACACGGTGGCTACAGTGGGAGACGCACCTCTAATGCAGACCCTAACGTCCACAACTACACGGAACCAAAGCTTAGCAGTCTCGTCACACAGAGACGCCACTTCAAATGCCCCTTTAGCGCCTATAGCTCCAGACATGCCGTCAAAGGATGTGAGGTGGCCAACTTGGCTGACACTGCAGTGGCCCCTTTTGACGTGGCAACCTCTGACCCCGTCTCTTACACCACAAACTTCTCCACTGGCACAGGACAGCTTTTCACACTTCACCAGCCCAGAGGCCTGACACACACACTTGGAGTTACAATCTTTCTCCACCACTGCTTGGCCCACCTGTAAACATAGATTATGCATAACATTAAAATCATTTATCTTCCAGTCTTTTACATCTCAATTTATTTAAAAGCCATGAGAGGAATAAAAAGTATTAGTCATTTTTCTATGATAACTATTTTGTCATTTTCATTTGTAGCACAGTTACTATTACTAATTTCCGTTTTACCGTCAGATATCTGCCATTGTGCACACACCCACAGTTGTCCAAAGGAACACACTGTATGCCATCAAAAACAAAGCCGGCATCACATTGGCATCCTTCAAAACAGCTTTCAGAACAAGTAAATGGGAAAATAAAGCTGGCACAGGTCCCGCTACAGGTGTCGGCACACATCTCATAGTGACTGTGTGGAGGGCAGGAAGCAGCTACAAGAGAAGACATGTGTAAGACTTTGTATGTGTACCTGAAATATAAAATATTAAATATATGAACAGTTTTTCAGTTAAAGTACTGTTGTGCATTACTCACGACAGAAGGAGGCGCTCCGCCATGGCTGTAGAGTCACTCCTGCACTCTGGCAGGCCAAAGCATAGGCCTGCACACTGTTACAAAGGGTGTCTTTGTTGCCACCCAAAGCACAAACATCAAACACGCAATTAGCCACATATGCTGCTGGGTCAATTTTACTGTGACAGGCTTTGAAAGGCCCATTAGGTGCACTCATGATGCCACAAGAGTCCGGTTTTCCATACATGGTGGCCTTGGCCTGCTCACATACTGGACACTGGCCTCCACAGCCCCCACACACATGCCCAGGCAGGTCCACCACCCACGCCTTCCCAAAGTCATCGACGTTCTTTGTCTGTTTGCCACCGGGAAGTATGAAGTCGTCGCCACCCTTCTTGTTGTAGTTGCCGCAAAGACCACACATCTTACCCTGGTATGTAGACGGTACAACCACCTCAACATAATAGACTGTGTCGTACAGAACTATCAGTCCAAAGTCTGTCCGGACAATTATGTTGCGACCTTCCTGGGTGACTCTAACACGTCCATTGTCCAGTGAGAGAGGAAGGTTCAGGAGTTCATCATCCACCTGGACAGAGGAGGAAGGAGAACAGTGTCATTGTGAGGAAAAATGTAACACGGACAAATGGAGCCACACAAGTGTTTTGGATAAAGTTGTTGAACTCACAATGACTTTCCATGGCATTCCCTGCTGGATGTAAATGACAAAACCATAGACCGCCACAGCAACCGACTTGGTGACAGCCACTTTTCCATTTCCATACTTCTCATTCCCCTGAGTTACAGTGAATGGCGTCAGATAGCCTTTGTCATCATCACAAACCTTGGCCAATACATAGACACAGGTACCCTGGAAATCAAACCTCCGCCCATCAAAGGAAATGTAATGAGGGTCACCGGAAGCCACACACTTGCCTTGCCCCTCAGGGTGGCAGCCTTTCACTCCATTTACAAGCTTACAGGTCTCCCCTGGACGGCACTTGGCCTTTTGACAAGACACTGCGCCATTCTCCCCACAGACGCATTGCTCAACACACTCGGTTTCAGGGTAGAAGACGTCACCTTTCTTGTAGTATTGACCATCATAGGAGCAGCCACAGTCTCTCACAGGCACGCAGGTATCCCCGCTCAGCAGGAAGCCCTCGTCACAGTCACAGCCTTCTGTACAGGGCCTGCGGCACGTGGTAAGGGAGGTTAAACTGGCACAGGTGGCTGGGCAACCCGTAGCACATAGAGTATAGTGGCTGTTAGCTGGACACACCATTGCTGCAGGAAAGGGTGAGAAGAGAGAGAGAGGAACAAGGTAAAATATGACATTGTGAAAGGAGATTTTAAGCATCAAAAAATGTATTTAAAAAAATGACATCACAATCTCAAACTCACGACAGAAATTCTCTCTTCTCCAGGAGTGGATGGTGATTCCTAGGTTCTGACAGGCAGAGACATAGACTCCCACAGCATCACAGACTGATTCATGACGGCCATGATAATGACAGGCATCATACACACAGTCCTCCAGGTAAGGAGCAGGGTCCACACGCCTGTGACAATCTCTGAAAGGCCCTGCTTTGTCAGCGATAATACCACAGTATTTCTGGGCTTGGTACTCTTTCCTCTGGGATTCTGAACAGGCCTGGCACCATGCCCCTTGGCAGACTGATGAACAGCCTGGTACGAGGGCCACCTGCCAGCTCTCCCCCAGCTTGGCTCCATTATTGGCAGTCTGGCCGTTCGGCATGGTCAGGTCATCCTGAGCTTTACCGTTGTAGTTGCCACACAGTCCGCAGACTGCGCCCTGGTAGTTGCTGGGCAGAGTAACGCTCACTGTGCTCCGCCAGTCAAAGGTCACGGTGATACCAGCAACTGTCTCCACTACAGCTGTCCAGCCGCTGAGAAACACGAGCAGCTCATTATTGTAAGCCAGTGGTAACGAAGCAAGCTGCCCATTGAGCTGAAAAGCAGAAAATGAGGGAGGGAGGAATATTTTTAGGAGATTATAGATTTAATAATTCTGCCGTCCTTGCTAATCCATTCTAATGTGCAGTTAAATCTTAGTTTAATTAAGTCTGCCTGGATCAAAATTTTAATATGCAATTAAATATATATGCGGAAGAGCATGAGGGTTGTCAGAAATAGCACAATGACAGAAGGCATTATCATCCACTCATTTGAATGAGGGGTATCTTCTTTTTATTTTTAATACTGTAACTAGATGCTGTGTCCCATTTCTTTTCTCGCCAAAAATCCACATTGCAGTAAGTGTTTCATTGCATGTGCATATTTGATCTTTTATCAAATCACCCATATGCTGCCTTTATCCATACCTCCACAACCATACTTACCAGGACCTTGTAGGGGTATTCTCTGCTGATGGTAAGGGTGATGCCATATATGGTAAGCGTGACAGTCCTTGTGTAGGACACAGCCTTGCTTCCCCGGTGGTCGTTCTGCACAGTCACCTTGAAAGGCGCGAGCCCAGTCTTCTGAGAGCACAGTCCCACCAGCTGATATACACATGTGCCCTGGAAGTCATACCTGCGGCCATCAAAAGTCCGGTAGTGTGGGTCACCTGAGGCCGAGCAAGTGGCGTGACTGATGGGTCGGCAGGCACGCTCCCCGTCCACTACGGTGCACCTCTCGTTGGCAGAGCAGGAAGCCTCGCGGCATGTCACCATGCCCAGCGTCGCATCACACTCGCATAGGCGGCCGCAAGTCTCATCATCCCAAAAGTGCTGGCCTGGCTGGTAGTAGCGGCCCTGATAGGAGCAACCGCATGTTTTAGTAGGCACACAGACACCAGCGCTGAGGACGTAGCCCTTATCACACACACAGCTCTCCACACAGACACCATTGCAGGTTTGCTTTTGCTCAGGGAATGGGCAGGATGGCTGGCATGGGCTGGCACAGTCTTCATAGTGGCTGTGACGCTGACAGTTCATCGCTGGATAGAAATTAAATTTAAAAAGGCATTAAACAAAAACATAAATATTTGTTTGATATCTTTGATTAAAATTAGCTTCTCATAAATACTCACGGCAGCCAAACTTTTTCCTCCACCCCTTGATTATTATTCCTTCCTCACGACATTGCTTACTGTAGGAGGCCAATGCCTGGCACAGCATCTTTTTGTCTCCCTTATTTAAACACATATCATACACACAGCTGTTCATGAAGGCCTGAGGGTCCAATTTTCCATGACATTTCTGGAACACACCATTGGTCTTGGCTGCAAGGGCCCCACAGAAAGCCTCAGTCTCATAGAGCTTAACCTGGCTACCGTCACAGGTAGGACAGTTTTTCACACATGTGTCCCAGCAAGGATGGTCTTTGTCCTGGTCAGGCGTTTGCCAGCTCTTGCCCCACTCTATCACTGAGGAGACAGCTTTGCCAGCTGGATTCTGCAGCTCATCGCGGCTGTTACCGTTGAAGTTGCCACACAGACCACAGACACTGCCGTAGTAGCTGCTGGGCAGCCTGATGATAAACTCCCAGTTCCAATCGTAGGAGACAACCAGGCCAAAGTTTGTCTCTACCACTGCAGTGTGACCACGCTGAAGCACCCACACCTCACCCTCACCCAGTTGCACAGGTAGATTCAACAGCTCACCATCCACCTGAACAGATCAGAATTATATATGTAATATACACACTGAACAGGTCACAGGTCAGACAGATCAGAAAAAATAAAAATAAATAATCTTTACCGTGACTCGACCAACTTCGTTCTTACGGATGGTGATAGTGTACCCGTACACAGACACATCTACCTCCCTGACGTAAGAAACTGCTGTGTTTCCACGGTTATCATTCCTCTCAGTGATTAAGAATGGCACTAGACCATCCAGATTCCCGCATGTCTTGGAGATGACATATTTGCATGTGCCCTGGAAGTCATAGTAGTAACCATCAAAAGTGTGATAGTGGGGGTCACCCCAGGCCCAGCAGACGCCTGTGTACTCAGGGACGCACACAGCTTCTCCCTTCTCAACACGGCACTTCTCTTTGACCCGACACTTGGCATCTTTGCAGGGATCTTCTCAAGACAAACAAAGGTGGGAAATGAATAGGATAAGCGCAGTTTATTAAAACAAATTTAAAATTGGCTGTTCATTTATTTGAAAAAGTATTTACTCAGTTAATAAGTTAAGAATTGTTAAAACTGGTTGATACAAATATACAGTATCCATGTCTTGCCTGTGTTGTAGCATGCCCTGATTCCTTTCTTGACCATACATTTGGTGCTTTGAGGGCACGAATGCTTTTCACAGACAAGGCCTGTTGCTGGATTACAGGTGCACTTTGTGTCACAGTCTTTCTCATACACCACTTCACCAGGCTGGGGACACAGAGCAGGTTCATTATACAGGGGGAAATTTTACACAGTGGACATGACAGGTTAAAGAGGAGTCCACATCATATCATTCTTATTCCATCTCATCAAAAAAAAAAAAAAACACAGATTTTAGACAATCTGCTAATTAAGTCTCAGGAGAAATCCTCAGTGCACACATCTAAGATCAGACTGGCTAAGGTCCACAACTTTGAAAAACTTTACTGCCATGTCAGCATGAATGTTGTTATAGGTATTTGCTTAAGACACTAACAAGCTGTCATTTGTACATGACTGTGTATGGAAAGGCGTGTGTGTATAGACAAAGGTGTTGAATTGTACCTTGTAAGTTTTTCCATTCTCATAGCAGCCACACTGAGACTCTTGAACACACATATGTCCATTAAATAAGAAGCCATCGTCACATTCGCAGCCTTCTATACAGCTGCTGGAGCACTGGACAATCTCTGTGAGGCCCTGGCAAGATGCAGAGCAGGGTTCTGCACACACCTCATAGTGACTGTTGGCTGGGCATTTCATGGCTGAAATAAATGATCAGACAGGGGAAAGGTATTAGAGCCTGCTCTTATATTTAATAAAAACAATATTATTACAGTATGGCAGACACAAATAATAGGTGGATTTGAAGGAAAAACAATAAAGTTAATTTCTCTTCGTCACTCACGACAGAATGAAGCCGTCCTCCAGTTTTTGACATCCACTCCTGCCATGTGACAGTTGAAGGCATATGCTGCTATGCTGTTACACAGCACCTTTCCATCACCGTTGGAGGCACACAGATCAAACACACAGTCATCAAAGTATGGCTGTGGGTTCAGTTTACTATGGCAGTCTGCAAAAGGACCTTTGGGTGCTGTAACAATACCACAGTAAGTGGTCTTTGAAAACACAGCCTTGCGAGCCGGTTCACAGTCAGGACAGTTATTCCCTTCACAGCCATTTCCACACACCACATTAGGGATGGTGACCTTCCATGATTTTCCAAACGCATTCACGTTGTTGGTCAGCTTACGGTTGGGCATTTCGAAGTCGTCTTTTTGATCGCCGTTGTAGTTGCCACACAGGCCACAGACCTTACCGCGGTAATTACCAGGTACTGTGACTGTCACATGATAGACCAGGTCATAAGTGACAAGCAGTCCAAAATTTGTTGCAATAACATAATGTATGCCTTCTTGATAGATTTGCACTGCTCCATCATTAAGATTCAGAGGAAGGTAGTTAAACACTCCATTTACCTAAAAGAAAGGCACAAGTGTTATTTAAATAAAAGAAGGAATGTTATATGAAAAAATTTAATATATTTGTCAAGTTAATTTTACATCTCTCAGCCATATCTAACATCTGCCACCATCTAACACATGCAACAGATTTGACTGTATTCCAAATATGGAGCTTGGGTCAAATGAAGACCAAGTGTTGTCACTCACCAGGACCCCAAACATGTCTTTCCTCATGATGATTGTGAAGCCGTAGACCTCCACAGCAACCAGTTTAGTGACAGACACCACTTTGTTCCTTATCTGGTTCCACTGCACGTTCTCCACCTGAACAGAAAAGGCCACCAGGTGGGTGCCTTCCAGCCCACAGCTCTCCGAGAGTGTGTAGGTGCAGGTGCCCTGGAAATTAAATTTTCGCCCATCATAAGAGCTGTAATGGGGGTCACCAGAGGCATGGCACACACCCTTACCAACAGGGTGACATTTTTGGACGCCATTCTCTATTTTACACTTCTCATTTGGGCCACATGCAATCTTCTTGCACTCAACCTGAGAAAGACAGTTAAGAAACAAGAGAAGTGTTATAAAAATTTTATTATTAATATTATAGAAATATTATTTCTATATTGCAAGTTCACACTGATTAGTAAAATGTCTACTTATAGTATTTATTACCTCTCCATCTTGTGTGCACTTGCATTCCTCCTGACACTGTCCATTAGGATAAAACACTTGGCCAATGCGGTAGTAGCGACCTTCATGGAGGCAGCCGCACTCTGAGAAGGGAACACAGAGATCTCCACTGAGGATGTACCCTTCATCACAGGAACATCCCTCCTCACACTGAGCCTGGCATCCTTGAGGAGGGATCAAGCTCTTGCATGAGGCAGGACAGGCCATTGCACAGACTTCATAGTGGCTGTGGACTGGACATTTCACCGCTGTGGACAAGGGACATAAAAGACAATGTGAATGTTTTTTTCACCCACTGGACACATTTTAATTTAGAGTGCAGTGATTACAAAGCAACATAAAATCCCGGGAAGGGAAGAAACAAACATTGACGTATACATTAAAAAAGAAAATGAAATGCTCACTTTGCCTTTTATGTAAAGAATTTTTCTTTTTTAATTAATGCATTTCTCACCACAGAACTGACTGGTTCTCCAGCTGTACACTTTGGCTCCCACAGCCTGGCAGGCAGAGGTGTACGATGTAATAGCCTGACACAGCACATCCTTTCTGCCCTTATACAGGCACACATCATAAACACAATCTTCAAAGTAGCCAGCTGGGTCCACCTTGGCATGGCAATCACGGAACGGACCTTTTGGGTCTGTCAAAATACCACAGAAATCTCCTTTTTCGTACTGAACCTTCTGGGTAATGTCACAATCAGGACACACCCCTTTACAGCCTTCGACACAGCCTGGGATCTCCGCCACTCGCCAGCTGGTACCAAATTCTGCTGGTGAGACAGGTTTGCCACTATTCTTTGGAATCAGGTCATCCTGAGGTTTGCCGTTATAGTTGCCACAGAGGCCACAAACGGCTCCCATGTAATTGCTTGGCAGTGTTACAAAAACGGCACTTTCCCAGTTGAAGGACACTTTGAGGCCAAAGTTAGTGGTAACTACAGCGTACCAGCCGCTCTTATACACAGATACCTGGCCTCCATCCAGGGTTACAGGCAGGTTGACCAGCTCATTATTCACCTTGAGAAGAACACACAATTGTTTTTATATAAACTGAATATTAAAGTGACTCACAGGAAAGATAACTGTTGATATAAACATATATTCTTACCATAATCATGCCCTTGTACGTCTTTGAAACGACAATGCTGAGGGAGTACACCTTGATCTCCACTAACTTGGTGTAGGAAACCACCTTACTGCCCCGGTGATCATTCTGCACCAACACTTCAAAGGGCACCAAATCTGGGTTCTTGGAGCAAAGTGCAACCAGTTGGTACACACATGTGCCCTGGAAGTTAAACCTCCTCTTGTCAAAGGTCACGTAATGGGGGTCACCGGTGGCCTGGCAAGTGCTGTGGGAGATTGCTTGGCACTTCCTTATGCCCTCAACCACGTTGCACTGCTGCCCTGCCCCGCATCCTTTATCCTGGCACTCCACACGTCTGCTTCCAGCTAAGCATTTACACAGTCGCCGGCAGCCCTGGTCAGCCCAGAATGACTCCCCAGCAGGGATGTATCGACCCTCGTACGTACAACCACACTGGGCAGCGGGCACACACTGGCTTCCGCTCAGAACAAAGCCTGCGTTACAGGTGCAGGTCTCCACACAGCTGCGTTTGCATTTGGAAGGAGCATCAGGGTCAGAACAAGTGGCAGGACAGGCATTGCCACAAAGCTCATAGTGGCTGTTGGCTGGACAGTCAGCAGCTTTAGGGATAAGAAATACAATAGTGTTATACTGTAAATACGAGGAACAACAAACAAAAAAACAAAAACAGTATGTTGAATTGACAATTAATTTTTATTTAATTATAGATTATGTTTATAGATTCATATACACACTATGCTTTAACATGTATGTATCATACATCTATATATATTGTATACTGTACATAACCACCCACTTCATGTATATAGGGTCATCTAGTGTTTTACCCATTCAATATTTATTCCTATTTGTATTGGTTTACAATCTACAGAAAACATGATATTGTATGGTGTTGGTCATTGTTGCTTTTTGTATGTATTCATATATATATATATACACACACATTCATTTATTTTGTTTTATAATAGTTTTTTTTTTTTAAATTTTTCTACCTATATTTGTTCAGCTTTGCTGTCCTTGTCTTTAGCTATCTATTTCTATCTTTCAGTAAATTGTTCTTGTGTAAGTACATTGAGGATAATGAAAAAAACAGTCAAATTCCTTGTATTTGTTCACATACTTGGCAAATAAAGCTGATTCTGATTTAGTTAATGTTACTTACGGCATCGTGCAATCATCCTCCAGTCTTGGACCTGGATCCCAGCAAGCTGGCAGGCTTCAGTGTAAGCCTCCAGAGCCCTGCAGAGGAAATGTCGAAGGCCGCCTCCCATGCATACATCATATTTACAGTTCTCCAGGTATGCTTGTGGGTCAATGACGGCATGACATTTGCTGAATGGGCCATTTATTATAAGTGTGATGAGCCCACAAAACAAGTTACCCTCCCACATCTTCATCAGGCTGTGTTCGCAGCGCTCACACCCACCCACACAGTCATCTCTGCACGGAGCATCTTTCACAAGGCCTGGCACCTTCCAGCTGCTTCCAAAGGCCACAGCCCCACCTGCCTGGGTGCCGGAGGGTGTGGTGAAATCATCTCTGGGGTTGCCATTGAAGTTGCCACAGAGACCACAAGTCTTACCCGCGTAACTGCCAGACAGATTGATCACAAGATAGTGTTCCCAGTCATAACGGACAGTCAGACCAAAATCAGTCTCAATGACGACAGAGCGACCGCTCTGAAACATAACTAGTTTGTTGTTGTTCAGGAATACTGGCAAACTCCACAGACTGTTGTCAATCTGCACGAAATAAAACAGAAAATCTGTTTTGAAGAAATTACAGTAATCATTTATTGATTTAAATAAATAAGAAATAATTAAAACTAAGATTCATGATAAATTGAAGTCAGGATAATATTTGAAATATGGACATTTGAAGACGTAGCAATTGCTTACTAACAAATAGGAATCCTTACCCTCACACGACCTGTCTCAGACCTAGCTATTGTGATGGTGACACCATACACCTTCACTGTGACCAGGGCAACATATGACACCCTGAGATTTCCTCTGTTCTCATTCTGGGCAAGGACCTCAAAGGCTGGGAGATTATCATCTTTTCCACAGTTTTTAGCAATAACATATGTGCAGGTACCCATGAAGTTATAATATCGCCCGTCAAAGGTACGGTAATGGGGATCTCCCATGGCCGAGCAGGTACCAGGTTTGCTCTCCACTGGCTTGGGGACACAGGAGGGATACCCACCCCTCATTTCACACACCTCACTGGCACTGCAGGTGATAGTGCTGCAGGACAAAGATCCACTTCCTGGAAAACCATATAGAATATACAATTAATGAATATCTCTCTAGAAAATATACTGTCCATCACAATTCTTTAAGAGCTATATGTGCACCTTACCTGGCTGGATACATTGTCCTGGGGAACCATAACCATTCATCTGGCTGACTCCCAAACTGTAGAGACCAAAGCGGGAACCAGAGCTGGACAGTGTGTGTCGATTGTTGCCAGGGGTTTGTTTGTAGGGCATCAGCGCCCAAGAGAAATCTGTCCCTGCAACCTTTTTCCACTGGACATCACGGGGCAAGTTCGTACTATCAATACGCAACTCTGCCATTGCACTGGTCTGTGCCACAATCAGGGCTTGGTTTTCAAAGCCCTCCAGAGCCTCTAGAGAGTAAGAGGAGCAGAAACGGTCTGTGGGAAGGATGGTCATCAAGAAAGGGTCATAGAATTGGAGCCAGCTCAGTGCGACACCGTTGAAAAGCAAGAGGACCTGAATGCCATGATCAGCCTGAATGGACAGTGTTTCAGGATCATGGTAGCGGAGCTCCATTACTTGCCCCGTGGTCAGACTCAGGACATCTTCGCGGTTGCCGTATTGGACAGTGACTCGGGTGGTCTGGGAGGCCTGGATGTAGACACTGTCATATCTCTTCTGGAAGCTCAGGGGAGGCACAATGAAGCTGGATCCCCACCTGCTTACTGGCAGTAGCTGCTCATAAACGTGATTACATTTCGAGAAGCGCCAGGTGCACGTGTGACCCGTGACTACAGCAACAGGGCGCTGGGAGGTAACTCTGGTGCCAGAAAGTTCATACACACTCTGGAGCTGGACACTTTCATAAGGTTGGAGATCTAGTACCATTTGGTTGCCTGGCCCATAGACACGACTCTGGAACTTGATTGGGCCTTGTGGGAAAATCTCCACTTTGTTGCTCTCTTTCCCATTTGTCACAGAGAACTCTTTATAGGAGCCATAAGGGGTTCCAGCAGGTGTAAAGATGAAATATTCTGTGCCCCATTCAGTGGTGGGATACACCACAGAGGTGTCTGCTGTGTACAGCTTGTAGTTGAAGGAAGTTACGGTCACATCAGCCGAGGCTTCAATGCGCACTGTGTTGGGAGATTTCTTGCTGCCGTACATTTCAATATTAGTGGGGAGACTGATGGTGACCGTCTCTCCAGCATTGAGAGTTTTCTCTTGCTTGAAGTTTATAGGAGGAACTTGCACTGTCACTTTAGCATTGGCCTGAACAGCCGTGATGTAGAGCTGAAAGCGAGGACTGTCGTAGTGAGGAGCATAATTCTGCATGAATGACAAGACAAACTCCCTCCCTGCCCATCCAGCGCTAGATGGACCTGACAGACGGGGGGAAAGAGCAAGCAAACAGACAGAAAAATACATGTCAAAAGAAGACATCTTTTCAAGTTACCTAAAATGCAGTAGTCAGGTACAAAATTGTGCTTCACAAATGTCGTGTATGAAGAAAACATGTCAAAAAGGCATTGGGTAATAAATTAGACTATTCGTGCCATGGCAATCAAAGGATTCAAAGAATGCAGAACTATGCTTGAGACTTCTTGGATCACATGCACAGTACAAAGAAACAATATGACAAAGAAAGTGACTGAAAAATACCTTCATTTTAAAGTTAAAAAGCAGGGATGAATGCTAGTCTATAATGGATGGATTGCTTTTTTTCCTTGATAACCATTGTGAGAGATTTAGACTGAGGAATAGTCACTTGACTGCTTCTCAGCAGCACTCAATAAGTCACTTGTGCAGACAATATAATTGCATAATGGAAATATTATCAATATCTGTGCCTTTGCTGTGAAAAGAACATTTTCTGGGCTCAGTCAGGGCCTGGGGGATTTAGATTACACTCCTGTTTCACCCATTCAGTATAATAGTTCCAACTCAATGGCAGCTGAAGGTAAATGCTATTCCCAACAAAAGCAAATTTCAATTTAGATGGCTATCCTTTATGTGCTGCACTCTCAAATTCTTCACCTGTTTAACATTCTGCTTCATTCTCACAAACATCTGTATGGCCGCACAACAATGCTCTCAACTGATGGGGTTGGCAACCTGGATAAATTGCTTCAAATTGGCCGATCACTTGTCCTGCTGGGGAATTCTAAGCTAAGCTGCTGTGATTCATTCATCAAGCTAAATTTAGTCAGATTTAATTAACAGTTGTTAATGGTTGGCAGGATTTTTAATTTTTTTCCTGAATTTGAAAATTTTCATTGCTGTTTTTCTTTTTAGTTCAAGCTTAAAATCATGACAAATTGACAAGCACAGATATATCACATTGAAATGAAAATGAGTAACATTCTGCCAAATAAAATAAAAAAAAGAAATTGGAGTATGACAATATATACTTACAGCTGAATAAAGCCCCCAAAGCACAAAGCAGCAACAGGGTCCCCATGGCTGAAAGACAAAAATCCTTGTTTCAGTAACAGAAACACTTTAAATGTACATTATCTGAATAACAAATGCATTATTTCTAACGTACATAATCCCAGAATGGATAGTGCTTACCTGCTAAGAGGCATATGATTTTTTTTTTTTTTTTTACAGTTGCATCCTTTTATATAGTCTGATGGACAAAAACACAACCAATCAAAAATCTTCAAGCCCAACAGGTACAACTTTGAAAAAACACTCTTCCTCTAAAACAAATTAAGGCAGAACTTGGCAATGACTTGTAGGTCCTGCTGTTTGTTGACATAGGTGTGAGGTCTAACACCAATAACATATTTGATTAATCATTTATCTTTTTCCTCAGAAACACCACACCTAGTGACATCTGCGTCCCAGAAACTGATGAGAATCCCCACATGAACTTCTGAATAACTTGCAGTGGTGTAGAACTTTCTTGGAAAATCTCCAATTTCCTTTTTAGTGGAAAATGTACAATATTGGGATAATATAGCCCTAATACATGAATAATCCTATTAAAGTTTTTAGACAAGTTTATTACACACTTGTGACTTTAAAAAAAAAAATTCCAATGCTACTGGATGTGTAAAACCAGGAAGCTATAGGTCAATGTAATTATTTGCCCATAGCACTATGTATATTCTGGTGTAACCAAATAGTACTATCCATTTTTGACTGGTCTTATCACATGCTTGCCTTGCCATTAGTCACAACTTATCTTTAAAGTTACCCAAGCGGACAGTCTAGTCTGATAATGAGGCAGTGTTTTGAGGAATAGTGATTTTTTGTAGTACATTGATATCTCACAAGACAGACTATGTGTGATTCCAAATGCTGGTTTCTTATTCTAGTAAGAACAAAATTTTCTTAGATGTCCACTGTAGAAATAACTGATGTAATTACATTTTAGCAGGCACTACACAAGCAGGATGACAAACCACTCCTCGGCTAAATCTTTGATAAAAGTGGAGATTTCTGCACACCTAGATCACTTTAAATTGATATATCACTTGGATCCAAGTGTGCACAAAACTTCACTTTAAACAGGTACTAAATAAAAATGTTACATACTGACATTGTGATAAAATTTTATCTAAACTTAATTTATTTTCCGTACCTTATTTTGCATAACTGCTCTTCGATTTATGAAATGTATTTTATCAGTTAAAAAAAAAAAAAAAACTAATTTCCACCTGCACGTTGCATAGGAGCCCTAGTCAGTGCACAAATCACAATGACTGCCAATGTTTATATTGTGTCCTTTAAGCCAGTTCAATCTTATAAACAAATGTGTCAAAGATGTGCAACCCTGTAATGCCTGCGAAATGGGTGGATAATCCATTGGACCTGATCGATCAATTCTTAAACTAACATTTCTGTAGTTGTTTGGGTAAACGGGTGGTTTCTATTGGTTTTGGGTGTCACCCAGAAATAACAGCAGGTAGTGGGAGGAACAATAATTTATGATAAAAAGTAAATATAACTTGGCGATCAAAAGTTTGCACTAGATTGATTGTAGAATAATGATTCAACCTCAAATATTTAATTATGTTCATCTGGTCAGTAGCCCTTGGGCAGGGCAATATTGAGCATGGTTTAGGTACTGTACACACTTTGTGGATTTAGATAAAAGGTGTGCCCTCATTACTTTTTTCCAGTTGGAACCAAGTCAACATTAGCCAGAGATGACCTTATTTAAAAAAAGGTGTGTGGGTCTAACTGATAAGAGTACAGCCAGCATTATGTAAAATGTATGAGAAGGGCATGCCATCCATCAGAGTTTATATCACAGACTATACACAAAGTTTTTTTAAATTGTTATATTTAAAACATTCAACATTACACAATACTCAGGACATTACAACAGTCGGTTATCCAGTGAAGCCACTGTGGAAAAAGCAAAGATACATTTTTTAATTCATTTTTAAACAAACACTAGTCTGTCAATGCACAGACAGTACTATTGTTGTAGAGAACACCACTTACCAGCCAGGAAAGTCAGGGAGAACCCATGACCTGACTGAATTGTTAGAGTGGAGGTCATTAAGGTTTCCACAGAGACCACACAATTTCCCAGAGTACCAGAGAGGAATCCTGACTGTCACCATGGTAACACCAATCTCCATCTTCAACTCCGACTCCATCCCAGCATCTCTCCTCAGGATCACTATGACCTCTGACTTGTCCTGGTTCACACCAGATGTCAGGGACACACCTGATGGCACAATGTGAGGGAGGGACACAATGTGTCCATTTACCTGCAGGGTGAAAAAGTGAGTCAGGACAGCCACTGGAAAATTTCAATACATGTTTCAGTTTGTCACCATCAAAGTCCTTAGTGGAGTTATACCTTCACTATGCCACCCTGTATGGCAAATGATGATCCATGCAGGAGGATTTGAAACTCAGTGACAAGCCTGGAAGAGTTGCCATCACAAGGTCCATGGTAAGAGATCACGCTGAACCACTGCACACTGGCCTCATCACAGAGGGACATCAAGCTATAAAATAACCGAGGTTCCAAGTCCAGCTGCTGCCCACTGAATGTGGAGACATGGAGGCTGTCCCTGAGCTCACAAGCTTCAGGTCTGTCATGACAGCCCCAGAAACCGTTCCTCAGAGCACACTGCTGCCCTTGACTGCAGCCTGTCTCCTCACATATCACCCCGCTCAAAGGGTGGCACCAGCATCTCTGGGTGCAGTCGTCAGAGTACAGTTGCTCATCTGTCTAAGAAGTGGAAAAGACAGAAACCAAATCAGTTAATTGGTGCTGGTATGTAAGTGGATTTACTCTGTACTGTACTCAAGTATCTCAAAATTGCACTCAAGTCTTTTTTTCTACTTTCTACTTCTCCATTATGTTTCAGTGGGAAATATTGTACTTTACTACAATTATTTTACAGCTTTAGTTACTTACAAAATTAAGATTTTTGAACACAAGACTTGAAAATTAGATGTGATGCTTTCTACCAAACAATTCAAGTAAAGCTGAAACAAATTGGCTGGACAAAACAAAACATTTTAAAAGCAGGACTTGTAAACAATATTTTTACAGTGTGACATTAGTACTTTTACTGAAGTAGGATCTAATACTTCTTTCACTACTGCTGAAAACCTTTCGTGTACATAGCATTTAGTGTACGTATTAATCTTGTATTTACCTTAATATATTTATCATGAAGAACACACCCACATTGACTGTAAGGTACACACTCGCCCCCATCAAACACATTCCCATGGTGGCACTGGCAGCCTTCTGAACAGCCAGTTGCTGAACCAGGCTGGAGCAGAGCAGGGCACGAGTTTGAGCTAGAGTCAACACACTCCTCCGGGCTGCTCCGGTCATGACACTGCAAAGCTGGGTGTAATAAATACAAAATCATTAAGCGTAACTCACATACTCTTAATTCAAACGGTAAACAAAATGATTCACTTACCGCAAGAAGTGTTCTTTCTCCACGGCCCTACTGGTATTCCTTTAGCCTGGCAGGCTGCAGAATATGCTTCCAGTGCTAGACATGCAGCCATGTGCCCTGCCCCAGTACAAAGTGCCCGGATGCACATACTTACGTAAATATCGCGCTCCACACCACTGTTCCAACAAGTGTTGAATTCAATACTATTCATCAACAGGACATCACAGACCATGCGGTCATGTGTGGACAGGGTGCAGTCATCACACTCTCTCCCACAAGTGTCAGTGCAATGCTGTCCAGGAGCTACTTCTGCCCAGCTGTGCAGGACCTCCTCAAACTCTTTGGTAAGATTACCATTTCTCAATTCCAAGTCATCATACCTGTCCCCATTGAAGTTCCCACAGAGGCCCGAAGCTGTGCCGTCATGTATCTGTGGTAGAGTTAACCTGAGGTACTGGGTAGAGGACAAGTCAATTCCTACCCCGGATAGAGTGGTGATAATCAGCCTGTTGCCAACTTGGTATGCTTCAAGTTCTCCATTGTCAAAAGGAACTCTGCGTTCTTCTCTGTTTACCTGAAAGGACAGAGACAAGTTAAGGCTGCAAAGATTTAACAAATATTGCTAGAAATTGCAGTACTTACTTGGATTTTCCATAGAGTTTCAGGGTCAATGGACACTTCCAGTGAAAGCACACGAAATACCAGTCTGCTTATTGAGAAAATACCATTACTTTTCTTTTTAAAGCTAAGTAGCAGAGTATAGTCATGCATGTCTTTAGAGGAGAGGGCTGACATTACATAGGTACAAGCTCCGTGGTGAGGCAAAATAACGCCATCAAAAGTGATGTAGCCAAAGCCAGCAAATACTTGGCACACTCCATACTGCAGGGAAAGGCCTTCTTTTACTGAACAGCTTTCTATGGGGATGCAGGTCACTTGTCCTCTTTCACAGTTACACTTTTGGCAGCTTTTCTCAGAATTAAAGTGGCCAGCAGAGTGATACTGTCCCTCATGCATGCAGCCACAGTCAGAAACCAGCACACACTGGCCATCACTCAGGACGTAGCCAGGGTCACACTGGCAGCCCTCCTCACAACCTCCACTACAGTTTGCTGGAGAGGACAGTCCAGGGCACACAATAGGACATCGAGGGCCACACAGCTCATAGTGGCTATTCTTAGGGCACAACATACCTAAGGGGAGAGAGGCTAAATACATCAACTTTACAGAAGAAACATTTAACATATGGTTTACACAATATACTTTCATCCTACAGAATCTTTCATACATTTAGGAGGATGCTGTGGCTATTTAAGGCAAAGCAGTATTGCTGTCCAAGCATATGCAATTGACACATGAAAAGGTATCAAATCAACACAGCTGCACCCCCCCACCCCACACACAAAATTTGCATGATTGCTGCCTTGTATGACATGTACATGAAGTCAAAGTCAAGTGATCCCTCAAGTACTTGGCTTTCACAGTGCAACAGCCGTGAACACAGACATCACACATTAAATGTCTTAAGATTAAAGATTAAACCGAAGTAAAATAAAACAGATTGAACATGTACTCACCACAGAAAGTGTCAGTCCTCCACTGCCGGACTGGCAGCTGGACTGCTTGGCAGGCTGTTACATAAGATGAAATGGAATTGCAGAGTGCTGAGTAGTGACCGTCATAGGAGCAGGAATCTGCTACACAGCTATGGAAGTAATGCTTGGGACTTAACACTGAGGCACACTCCGCAAATGGCCCCAATTCATTTAACAACACCCCACAAAAATCACTGCCTTCAAAAAGCTTCTGTGCCTCAACAGGACAATGCTTCAGTGTGAAGGAACACTTAGGCCTACAGGCCTCTGCTCCCAGAGACCTCCAGCTGTGGGCAGACTCCAGTTTGTTTTGGGCCAGCTCTCCATCCGGCATCATTTGGTCATCATCAGGGTCAGAGTTGGCATTCCCACAAAGACCTGAGACAGAAGAACTGTAACTGCTGGGGAGGATAACCATTATAGTGCCAGTGTTGTAGACGATCAGCTGTAATCCCACATCAGTGTGAATGACGAGAGATGAAGGTGTTCGGTAGGACTTTACACGACCTTTTTCGTAAGAGTATGGCAAGGTCTTATTCAGCTCATCAAACTGAGAATAAAAAGAAACATCACATTAGAAATACATATCGTTTTTCATTTTGAAGACTGTGTTGATGAGACCTTCCAAAGTACTCACCCAAACCTTTCCTGGTTCATCTTTTCTCACTGCCACCTCCAAACCATAGATTTTGAGTGTTAAGTTAAGGCTATGAAAAAGCCTTTTGCGACAGCTTGCATCAGAGATAGTGACACTGAATGGGGTTAGTCCAGTCAAGTTGGAGTTAGTTTGAACCAATGAATAGGAACAACTGTCTCTTAAGTCAAAATGATATCCATCAAAGGTCATAAAATGTAGCCCAGTAACAATGGTACAGTTCTGAGGTTTTTCAGGTTGACACACCCTCTTGTGATATAGCTGCGTGCAGATCGTTCCTCTGGGGCACTGGGTGGGACGGCAGTGGACCTCTCCAGGAGCCGGCCCACAGACACAGAGCTGGCCACAGTTGTCTGGTGCCCAGAAAGTGGAGTTCAGGCTGTAGTATTTGCTTCTGGAGTCGGTGCAGCCACACTGATTTAGACGCACACAGCCAGTTGGACTCCTCAAGAACCCAGGGTTACAGAAACAGCCCTGAACACAGGCCTTATTACAGGTGGTGGCATTAGATTCACAGGATGGAGGACAGGCTGAGCCACATGTCTTGAAGTGGCTGTTTGGTGGACAGTGCACATCTGAAATGATTAATTTGTTTGTAATTTATCACAGTAGTCACAAAAAAAATTTCAAATTGCATTATATTGCACTCATCAACAGAACTACTTACCAACTGTCACTTCACTGTGGTAGCTATCAGATTCTTCACAAACTATGGAATATGAATGTATGGCTTGGTGAAGAGCAACTTTTGACTCTCCATTATGCATGTGGTCAACTACACAATGTTCATAAAAGGAATCTGGATTGACTCGACTATGACAGTGGGTGAACGGACCGTTCTGATCACTGAGCACTGCACACTGTCTCTTGTAACTAGAAACAATGTCAGAATCAGGATCTAAGGGCAAGGTGGGATCATGCAATTTCCATTCACAGCCAGTACAACAGTTATGGTCCCCATCAAAGAGCCGGTAAGTCTGAGCAAACTCCACACTTGTCTTAATGGGAGGAGAACCAGGCGTAGTTACAGGATACTCTAGTGGATTTCCGTTGAAATTGTCACACAGCCCATAGACTTTGTCCTTGTAGCGTGGGTCCAGTGTAACAACAACAGAGGAGTTCCCATCAAAGACTACACGCATACCAAAGTCAGTTTTCAGTAGAGATTTGCCTTCCTTGTAAGAGACCTGAATCTTACCCCGCAACAGATTAACAGGAATATAAGTCACTTGACCATTAACCTAAAAAAAAAAAAAAAAAAAAAACAACAGGAGACTCATTAGTGATCAAAGTAAAAATTGAGAAGCTTTGTCATTCAGAAATTTACATTTACTTACATGTATGCTGCCATTGTCCCTGAGCTTGATGATGAACCCATAAGCTTGTAAAGTGACCGACTGCATTGAAAGCAGATTGGCTGCATCCTCTACACAGTCATTCTTTATTGACACACTAAAGGGTGTCAGACCACATGCGGACCCTTTGCTTGCAGCGAGCAGATAGGTACAGGTACCATTAAAGTCATAGTCGTGCCCATCGAAGGTGTGGTAGTGCTGGCCTCCCCAGGCCCAACACAAACCCTGGCGGCTTTCACAGACCGGCACACCATTCCTCAGGTAGCATTTCTCTGTTTTATCACAGTTTCCCTCACATGGATCTAAGTTTTGCTGTGCTTGAAAGGAAAACGGACATTTTAGTTTTAACAACATGAAAAGTAATAAATGCACTAAACAAATCAGTATCTAATATGTTTTCTATTTTAATGCTCACCATCCTTGTGGCAACCCACAATTCCATCAGAAACCATACAACTGTGCAGTGGAGGACATGAGTATTGCTCACAGACAAGAGGAGGCCCACAGGTGCAGTTAATAGTACAGTTCTGAAGCAGTTTGCTCTCAGAGGCCTGAAAATACAAACATGAAAGACGCAAAACAATATTGGACTGTATTTACTGAAGAGGCATATTATTAATTTGAATACAATTCTTAATTGTAAATATAAATGGTATAATTCAAGTTAAAGTTTAGGACTAGCTAAATGAACACTTTTCTAATTAGACTGGACACAGAACTGTGTTTAATTCTGACCTTAAACCTCCTCCCGCCCTGTATGCAACCACACTGCTCTGCTGGTACACAGGCATGGCCATCATAAAGGTGCCCAGTATTACACTGGCAACCTTCCTCACAGTCCCTGGGGCACTGCACTGCCTGGATTATCTCAGGACACAGTGAGGAGCAAGCATTGGCACACTGGCTATAGTGACTGAATTTAGGACATTGATGAGCTGTAAAATAAAAACACAACTCTTAAATGATTAAATGCAGTTAATTATACCATTGCTGGAATGTTACGGATGACATTTAAACAATGTACCAAGCTGTTAAGACTTACCACAACCTGTAGTGTTCGTCCAGAGGTCAACCACCCCTCCTGCATCCTTACATGCTGCTTCGTAGGCCCACAGCGCGTCACACAGGGCCCAGAGTTGTCCCTCTGCAACACAAAGGTTTTTCATGCAGCGGGAGTAGTATTTCTGTGGGCACACTAAATGCTGACAAGAGGAGAAGGGTCCGTTGGGATGGGTGATAAGGCCACAGTACAGGTCAGAGGTGTACTCTGGCACAGGGGACTGGCAGAGTTGACAGGTACTGTCACATGTATTGTCACATGTATCGTTGCAGGATGACTCAATATCAGACAACTTCCATGACAACCCAAAGCTGTCAGGATCAGAGATCAAAGTGCCATTGGGTAGCTGCAAGTCATCTGAGGGATCATCATTGTAGTTCCCACACAGGCCGCAGGTTGTCTGGTGATAAATGTCAGGTATCTTGACCAGAATGTGGTTTTGTAGGTCAGATACAAGCTCAACTGACTGTGGGGTCTTGATGGTTATCCATCCATTATTCTGATGCACAGTGACGTTGCTCTGTGAGAACGGCAGGTTCTCGTACACTCCATTTACCTGGGTGAAATAATTCACTTTTAAAAACATAATATACAATACAGTTAGTGTATGCTGTGAAAAATTACTTTACACTGCATTCAAAGAGATGAACTATAAATCATGTTGAAGGTTGTGAAATCATTACATGAATTACCTGAATTTTTCCAGGAAAAGCTGCTGATGTCTTAAAATACATTTTATTGACTTGCAAGTAGATTTCACTGCCCTGACCATGGTTCCCCTGTGTAGCTATCAAAACAGGCTCCACATTCAGTTTCTTGAGAGAGCATGTCTGCACCAAGGTGTAGTGACATGAACCATGAAATTCAAATGCATGTCCATCAAATGTGGTATATTGAGATCCATCAACAGAGCAGTGTGCCACTTTGGGTTTGGGGTGGCAGCCTTGAACACCCCTAATAAGCTTACATTCCTCATCCTCGCCACAGGAGACATTACGACAAGACACGTGTCCCCCAGCATGGCATAAACAGCTTTGTTCGCATGTTGACACCTCCTGTCCTGCCCTGAGGTATTCTCCATGTTGAAAGCAGCCACAGTTTTCTGGAAAGACACAGAGGTTGCCACTGTGGACTAAACCTCCTTTGCAGAGGCAGCTCTCCCCAGTGTTTAGGGGCATCTCTACTGTGTTATTCTGCCAGCTGAGGCAGAGGTGAACAGAAGCAGAGCTCACATTGTAACTGGTACTGGAGGGACATGACGGGTCTGTAGAGATACAGAGAGACATCAGTCACGTAGGGCAGCAAGACAGGAAAACATTGTAAAGGTTAGGGTTCACCAGTGATGCATTAGTACCATCTAGTGGTCCAATAGCACCTGGAAGGTTGTGGCCGCAATACCAATAGGAGTCATAGCACACTATTTTTTTCAAAACTTGCAATAAACAGAATAATGCAATAATTCTTTATGTACCTACAGGCATTTATCTGATCTGTATGCAAATAATCTCCATTCCCTTTTCCTCATGTTACCCCGATCAATATCAAACAATCTAAACATGATGAAATCGCATCACAAACTCTCCTTATTTCATTTGGTGTGCAATGATGCTGAACTCCAAACAGCACAGTTACAGTTGTAGAGGATATTAATTTAATTCACTTGCACAACAAAGCTAGAGTACATTAACACTTACAGCAGAGTCCAGGACTCCTCCAGGCATAAACTGTAGCCTTGTGGGAAAGGCAGACAGCAGTATACTCTGCTAGGGAGCGACACAGTGCAGGCTGGAGACCTCCATGAAGACACAGGTCACTGATGCAGCGCTTGTAAAAGCTGGAGGGGTCCACTTTGCCATGACAGTGTCTGAATGGTCCATTAACTTCCAGAATCTTCCCGCAAGCCTCCGGGTCAGAGAGGCGGGACAGACTCTCAGATGAACATTTTGGACAACTTCCTCCTAGACAGCCCTCCACACACCAAAGATTCTGCCCACTTCTCCAAGCTTTACCAAAATGCTCAGGACTGAGATGCTCTTGTGTGCCATTTGCTGTCAGGTCATCAGCAGGATCAGAATTGAAGTTACCACATAGGCCACAAGTAGCATTAGCATATTTAGTGGAGAGACTAATGCCCACTATGCCCTCCACACTGAGACTAAATTCAAAGCCCATGTCTGTGTAGATGTAAGTGTGCAGCCCCAAAGAGAAAACCAATGCAGCAAGGCTGAAGTGATAAGGCATGCTCCTCTTGACACCATCAACCTGTAGGGGGTGGCAAAATTGCATTTCAAAGTCAGCACAGGGTAGCCCATTTTTAAAAGTAATCTCTGTAAAAGTCTGGTCTAATTATTAGATTATTTATGACCCATTATAGTGTCAATGATTCGGTGTGTGACATGACAAAAAAAGAACTAAGAGATATACACAGCAACAACGGGACACTGGCACTCACCTCTATATTCTCAGTGTTTTTGCTGTTTAACTTTACAAGCACGCCACTCACATTGACCAGGACATGAAGTGCTGACTCGAGGTGTCCATCTGTCTGTACATAAACCTGAATGGCATCAAGGCCTTGCTTCTGTCCACACAGGCCCACTAACTGATACCGACAGGTGCCATGGAAATCATAGTCATGCTGGTCAAAGGTGACTATGTGATGACCAGTGTACATGCATGTCTGATGGGGGTACGACACACAGCCTCTGACTCCATCTTGAAGGTCGCAGTATTCATCTGGGCTGCAAGAATCCGAATGGCATAGCGTCTGTTGGGTGTGAGGGTCACAAACACACTGTTCAGTGCATCCCTCATCAGCCCAGAAGGTCTGGTTGCTGTGATAACGGAAACCATTGTGAAAGCAGCCACACTGGGACAAGGGGACGCACGTGTCACCTTCCAGGACGAACCCTGGGTCACACTGGCAGGTCTCCACACAAAGCAGGATGCAGGGTCTTGAACTGAATGGGTCCTCACAGGTGGCAGGGCAGGCTGTGCCACAGGACTTATAATAGCTATTCTGTGGGCATGACATGGCTGATGGGACAGAAAGAATGATCAGCAATATGGAGAAAATATAAAACAAACACACACACACACA